GCAGACTAATGGGCTCATGGAGAGATTTAAACGCACCTTCGGCGATGAGCCGCGATGTATGCGACATCTGATAATACTAACTGGGATCGCATTATTCCCTTCATCACGTTCGCATACAACACCGCGGCACATTCAGCCACTGGATTTCCACCTTTCTTTCTTCTTTATGGGCACGAACCTTCCCACACCATCGACACTCTCCTTCCATACCATCCTTACTCATTTTAATGCCCATCTGTGTCCGAAGCTGCTTGAAAAGCGGAAGAGTGCCGTGAACTCGCACGCACATTTACGTCACAAGAACAGCAGCGCCAAAAAGAAAACAACAATGACTCTTCACGAAGGCACAGCTATTTCCCAGGATCACTTGTATTGCTGGCTGTTTCTTACCGAACCCCCGGCTTTTATTCAAAACTCGTCCCGAATTACGAGGGCCCTTAACACGTTTTGGAGCAAACCTTGTCGGTGAATTTTATCATTGAGCCACTTTTCCCATATGACGACATGCGCCGGCGTGGAGGTGCATCATCCCGTCGCCTGCCTTAAGCCATATCATGGCCCTCTGCCTAAAGACTCTTAGGTCGCCAGATTTGGCCCTCTGTCTAAAGTCCGCCTTAGGTCTTCAGGATGGCTCTTTTTCGTCGGGGGAAAACTGTGAAGAAGAAAACGCAACGTTGGAAAGCCACATCTCCACCGCTTGGGTAATGGGTTCTGGGCGTCTCTCGCTCGCCTCGTACTGATCGCTGCCGGCATCTCCTTGACCATTGCAATGTCCCGATCGTGTTTTCATCGTGAAGCAGCCGTCGCAGCACACGCCAATAAACCCCTTTTCAAGTGTGTTGCTTTACAAACAATCACAAGGTGTGCCTGTCGGCCAAGCAGTCGTCTGCTCGCGTTTGCCATCTGATTCGATCAGAGCATGGGATTCGCCATCGCAACGCAATTATTGCCTGGGCAAGTGGTCGCAGCGTCGCACAAATTACATGTCAGTGACTCACTATATCTTTCAATGATGTTCATGCGCCAAGTTAAACGGCTGGCAATTGTTGCAGGGACGAAATAAGCCAAGGTTTTCTCCAGAATCGTTAGGGTTTGCATATTTCCGGTGTAGTTTAAAGTTACTAGGGTCATTTGATCCCGGCTGCTTGCCATGTTATGGTGGTTTATATCAGTTTCTAAACAGTGTAGGTGAAAATGCTTGATTTGTTTGTAGCTGCATGGGTAATCACGCACACCCCTAATACGCTTCGGTTTACAAAGTACGGGCCATTCCAGGTCGTCCCGAACTGTATCGATAGCTGTATTTCAGAGATCGCTCTCATTGGACAGTTAGAGCCAATCGAAGTACACTAGAGTACAAGCTTTATGAACAACTCACTAAAAAGGTCCTCTCATTTTTATATCGAATAGCGTGCAACAAATGTGCTCCCAATACCCTCCTTGGTGGCAATGTCCACCAATGAGGCAAGGATCTCGAGTCGTACTTTTAATTGATGAGATGAGGCGCAACGCAACAGCATAACAAATAAGGTTGACCCTACGCCTTTCCGCGTACGAATGCACTGACCATTCACGTAGCATATTGGTTTTCATACAACCACAAATCTTTAAATGCATAATATTACACCACTGACGCCCAATAGGATTCTTCAATAAGTGCGACTTCAAACCCATTAAATGACAGTGGTTGTCAATACCATCCACTGCATACAAGGGAAACAACACACGAAACTCGTGCCAAAAGAAATAAAAACGCACCAGCAGTCATCAAGCAGCGCTTGATTGATTGATATGTGGGGTTTAACGTCCCGAAACCATTCTATGATAATGAGAGACGCCGTAGTGGAGGGCTCCGGAAATTTTGACCACCTGGGGTTCTTTAACGTGCACCCAAATCTGAGCACACGGGCCTACAACATTTGCGCCTCCATCGGAAATGCAGCCGCCGCAGCCGGGACTCGAACCCGCGACTTGCGGGTCAGCAACCGAGTACCTTAGCCACTAGACCACCGCGGTGGCGAAGCAGCCGTTCATGGGCACGATTTAACTCAAAACCAGCCAAGGCACCAAAATATACCGCCGTGGCAGCAGGTTCTAAAAAGCCACATTGTTCCTAATGGTGCATTCAGACGACGGACCGAATCCGGATTTGTCATGGACGCAGACAGCTAATCCGCGGATGATCCGCCTGCAGGCGCATCCACACGACGGACGGTGTCCTAGGGGAAACAGCCGCATTACCGTCGACAGCAGATTCGGCGCTCACCTGCGCCCGCTGGCAGCAGACCAGTTTGAAAGTATTCAACATGGATGCCCCAAGAAGCGACGCTTGGCTGCACGGAGGAAGGAAAGGTGCTTGGCTGCGATATCTGTCGCGTTGTGACAAATGAACGAGGAGTGTTATTCTTTCAGTAGAAAAGGTAGTTACTGGCAGAATGTTCTTTCAACACCATTGTTCCCCACTTTTAGAACTTCTAAACGCGTCTCCCATCCGTACTTAGAAGCGGCACGGCGCAGGTTGCAGAAGTTAGAATATTTCCCAACTATGGTGGCTAAGAATCTCGCGTGTCAAAACAATGGCGGCGACCTTTCCCGAACCACAAAAATGATTTCTGCGTATTTATTCCCCTGGGAACAAAGCGTTCGGAAACTAAGTAAACCATGCTCAAGTGTAGATGATGCCAAACAGTCATGCAGCTAGCTGACCGCGAGCCATGGAGGACATGCCGCGAGCAGACGAAAAGTGTACTGGTTGCCACCAACCCTGAGCTATTCCGCTGAAGTACCGGCTCTCTTCCGCCAGAATGCCGATGTGAGAAACAGGTTGGGGTCATCCGTCCGCGAGCCGCGCAGACGAGTCGTGGACGAGGAGAATGACTGATGTGAGGTCACGTGACGCGCAGTCCGCCCGTCACATCCGGATTCGGTCCGTCGTCTGAATGCACCGTAAGAGTGGTTTGGATCACTCTTAGGATTTTCTCTTAGCCACGCTGTTTTTACGCAAAATTTTGCTTCGTGAATTCACTTACAAGCCTTTTCGGTGACGTAAGCAAATGTAGCAACTGCATCACCATCACTGACATGTTCCCGGGCAGTCACAGCGCGCTGTAATGCAGCGGCCGATGTGACAACGATGGCCTCTTACGACGTTTTTTCGTTTCGTGAATCGACTTACCCAACCAAAATTCTCTTGCGCAAAAATGTTTTTGCTAGTAAGTTTTGTAAATCCGGCTCATGATTCGCTTTCCTTAGATAACTTACTGGTCGATTACAAGAGCGGTACTTCTTGAGAGCCAGCCACTCAGATAAGCTTAATGTCAAAGCTCCTAACGCCAGTCCTGGAAGATTCGCACTTGTCGCCATTGTTCCAAATGTAATAACTTGCGCAGTCTCTTTACATAGGTCCAGGACAAGGTCATAGAGCCGAAAAAAGCTTTCACATCTGTCGGCACAAGTCCCTTACGCTGGCTGAATCGATACAGTCTAGCTCGGCACGTCAGAAGTACGATGTGGCTGAGAAGTGCATTCACTGCCGCAGGAGAAGAAACACAAGGAGAACCATGCAGAATTGCTCATCCAGAAAAAGAAAACCACCAAGTGGGCGGACGCCGTAAAGGACAAAGTGAGACCTGCGGCGGTTCCGTATATGCATGTGATTTCACATCAGCTCAAGAAATTGGCAGAAAGACGTTGTGTCACTTTGGCACTGGCTGCTCCGAACAAGCTTTACAAGCTATGCTACAGCACCAGATCTATGAGCGCGGGAGGGTGCGAACAAAGACACAGCGTGATTTACGTTCTCTGGCCGTCGGATTGGCTTATGCCATCCCACTCTCGTGTGGTAAGATCTATGTCGGTAAAACTGGCATATGCATGAACGAGTGGCCCAGGAAACACTCACAAAAGATTAACAAAAATACGGATAAAGAAGCCCGTCTTCTGGCTCCTTTATTTCAATTACCGCTAGCTGCAGTTGTGAGGCAGAATTTAAAGAGATGTCGATCGCTGGCCGGAGTACAATGAGCATGCTCTGCTGGCTTTCGAATCGTATCATATCAGAAAAGGTGCTCATCTTTACATAAGTGACCCGTCTTTGTCCCTGCCCTTATGTGAGTTTGATTTAAATTTATTGCGTATGTAATACACTGCTTGATTTTTTTTCAAATCAGGTATCACTTCTGTGTGTGTGTTTTTTTTGATGGTGTGGCGCATGAGTGGTATGACTGCGTTTAAGGCATATATGCATTGTCATTTGCCTAAATAACATCAGTGCATAGTCAGCACTCATTGTGTCGACTCTTTCTGGCGTGTCTTTTTTGCAGTGCAAACACATGAAGAAATGAAAAAAAAACGCTGCGAAATCTGGCCCTGAGTAGTACGTTGCGACTACGTAACAAACCAGTGCTCTTATCAGACGCTTAAAAACACAACGCAAGTGCAAAAAACAACAAAAAGTAATGATCACTTCAAATGAATGTTTTTTACAAAAATAATTACTCGCCCATATTTGGCATGTTCTGTATACAAAAACAATTTATTCAACACACCTTAGGTGGCTATTTATGTTAAGTCATCCTGCCATAAACAGCATCTACTATTCGCGCCGATGCGAGTGCCCGTCATACCAGCATGCGACAAGCCCAGGCATAACAGCAGAAACGTTTCGTCAGCATCGGTTGCTTCGGTGCTTTCGTGTGTAAGATGGCACGTCAGATACGTCTTCAAGCGAAGCTCGTTGATTGACATATCGTAGAGATAACTGGGTCATTGATTGAAAAAAATACAACTGCACTAATAAGACACCTTGCAAGAAATAAACACGCCCACACCCGTCGCGCTTTGTGTGGGACGTGCTTCTGTGTTTCTCACGTGATGTATTATTTGCGCAGCTGTAACCTCTCTCTGAAGCTTGTGACGGCGGCCAGGTTCACTAGAAAGCAGCTTCCGGCTGTATGCGACAACGCACAGATAGCGTTTGAATTGAGATTATAGCTAAATGTCGCAGTCGGCAGGATTTGAACCTATGCGGGAAAATCCCAATGAATTTGTAGTCCATCGCCTTAACCACTCGGCCACGACTGCGCTGTATGCGACAACAAAACGAGAACATTGCGCGACGTGTGCAATATAGTAAAATATTTCTGTGCGATTCTCGTCTCATTTTATGCTTTTAATATTCTCAGCTTCTCCCTTGCCCAGGAGAATAAAAAACCAAATCGGATACCCTGTCTCCTCTCTCTTTGATCGATATATAGATTGACCATTTGTTCAAAAAAATCAAGCACGATGGATAAAACCATACTGAATTGTGATTACTATCAACTTCTAAAAAATTACGCCATGACTTCAATTCTAACGAACAACTTTAAGCTATGCAAAATATGGAACCGCTGAATGAAAGCGACAAACGATAGCCTTGCAGTTCGGATGAAGAAAACTAGTCAGAAATCCTTAACTTTCGCCATAGGAAAACGCCGGTTGTGCAGAGTAACTTGAAATTCGCGCCAGTGAAACTAAAATGGGAAGCGCAGGCCATTTGCTAGACTAACCACCAGTTAATGATTGATATGTGGGGTTTAACGTCCCAAAACCACCATATGATTATGAGAGACGCCGTAGTGGAGGGCTCCGAAAATTTCGACCACCTGGGGTTCTTCAACCTGCACCCAAATCTGAGCACACGGGCCTACAACATTTCCGCCTCCATCGGAAATGCAGCCGCCGCAGCCGTGATTTGAACCCGCGACCTGCGGGTCAGTAGCCAAGTACCTTAGCCACTAGACCACCATGGCAGGGCTAACCAACAGTTGTGCTTGGATCGATTCGGCCATCGAGGTCTATGGGAGTGTACTTTCGTAACTTCATTTTACATCTCAAAAGTAAAATTACCATGATTATAAACCAACTAGACACAAAGAAGTTTTACTGATGTTGGTGTTGTTGCGACTGGGGTTTGCGGCACCGGAGATCTGGCATTAAGATATAGAGGCAGGATGAGGTTGAACTTCGTTGAGAAGGTTTATTTGCATCATTTACATGGCACAGGCTCTCTGGCCCGAAGGTCTACATTGAAAAGGCTGTCTATTGAACAAGCTCCGCAAACCACTCTAAGCAGCTCGTGAGGGCTGATTAAATACAATCTGATATCCACAGATCTCTAAATCTGGGAACAGTTTTATACGGCACTGCCCTATAACATGTCCCGCAGAACACACGAGTGTCAATATGCCCGCACCGCCCCCAAGAAACACACATACACAGACCAAACACGTGTATTGTCTCGGCGATGCTGCCTCCTTCAGCGAATCTCGTTGAATGGAGTGGAACGAGTCTGTCATCTCGCGGAAGTGTGGCAGCTTGATCTAGTGGGTATGGCATGACGATAGTTATAGCGCGAAAACAAAATGACGACACAGAGACAAGAAGGTCTTGTGTCTTTCATGTCTTTCTTGTCTCTGTTTCGTCGTTTTGTTTTCGCGCTATAAATACCGTCATGTCATCTCGCTGCTCGGGCCGACCAGCCATGCTTTGTGGTATAGCAGTCGCGGTCTTGGCGCCTTCAAGGGACCATGCCTGGACACCTGGTGCTGATTTGAGCGTCGGCAACTCATCAGTCAGTGACGCACAGCGTGATGGTCCGACATCCGTTATTGGTGGAAGCTCGGCATTGATATTTTTATCAGGGCACGAAGATGCCTTGTGTCACATGTTTGCGCATTCCCGAAGGATAGCGGTGCTCGATAGACTAATTTCGGCCATGCAGCGCCCGGCACATAGAAACAGCAGGGCGTCTTGACGCTGCTCCTTATCTCCGCAATATTAGGAGGCTGCCTTTCTTTTGTTCTGGTGGCTATTCTCGTTTCACCTGTTCTGGTGGCTGCGGCGACATGGTGCCCCGTCAAACGCAATAGTGTTCGCAAGGCCAATTTCGAATCAAGCGGTGGAGGAGAAACGACCGATGTGCATTTGGGAGTGTGCCTATGCCACTGACAAGACTGAGACAAATACGCAGAGTAACAAACAAATTCGTGCAACAGGTAAGTTTCTGGCCTGTAACAAAGTACAACTTCTTTTGGCGGACAAGGAAGACTTGTTTCGAGCGTACACCCACTTATTCTCTATGCGGGACAAAGTAGGCTCATGAAAAGGTCGAAAGGTGTAAACATTACTGTAGCATAGTTATGGTCAAGGCAGCAAACAGGGGCAACGGCAAGAGGCTGGCAGAATTTCAGTGTCCTCACGCATGACGAGTTTTTGTTACCACTCAAGAGTTTCGTGCAAAGGTTTATCACACAGGTACGAAAATTGAACTTCAGCGCATGCGCAGCCGATGACGGCATGATGATGTGACAGAAAGTCCCACCCCAAGATAACTTTCTGCGAGCACACCGAAAGGACGATGATTTCGACAACGTACATAGAGCCTTGGATGAATATACGGGCCGTATAGGTGCCGAGAGGTCTAACTGGTTGTGGGCTAGCCGTACGAAACGATAGTCCAGGGAGCGGCGTCTTCACTTTGCGTGGATAGCGGCAGAGCTGGGCGGCTATAACAGAAACTGCAGCACCTGTGTCGACGAGGGCAAAGGTAGAAACACCATAGACAGATATGGCAACGACGTTAGGAGGTGAAAGTGCGAGGACTTGAGCATTTCGGTGATGGCGCAGTTCTTGCCTCTGGAACTGCGGCGTTCAGTTTTCCCGGTTGGAGGAAGCGGGTCGCAAACGCATTGGGGACAGTGATCGCCTGCGAAGAGACAGGGAGTGAGGAGAGTGAGTCTAAGACGGGGGCGGGAGTGACTGAAACTCGGGAAGGTTACTGTAGCCATACTGCGGTGAAGGATAGGGAGCAGGTAGGTGCATGAGCTGTGGGTCATAAGATAACGGCTGAGTAGCGTCGTGGAGTGGTTGGAAGCGACGGCGACAATATCGTGCCACGGGTCCTGGAGTAACGCAGGCAGAGCAGATCGCTCAATTGTTAGAAGTGCGCCAGGAACTGCTTACTCGCGGTGCCGCACAAGGTGTCGAAAGAGCGGCGGAGTGGGGAGCAAAAGAAGAGATGGGTGAGAAGCGCTGCTGGTGGGGTCTGCTGCGTACCACCTTGGCATACGTAAGAGGCGTGGCCACGGGCTGCATAGCCAGCGCATGGGAAACAAGCATGGCCACAGGCTGCTGCTAGGCAGCGACTTGAACAGCCTGAGCTACCTCTTCGGCAATAAGGTCGCGGAGCGGTGAGGGCAGACGAGAGGACGGCGGCTGCTGCGTGAAGGGAATCAACGACAGTTGCCGAGCTACTTTTTCATGCACAAGGCCTTGAATTTCTTGCAGGGTTGGTGAGTGATCAGCAACAAAATTTAGACTAGAGAGTGAGTCGGCCTGTGAAAAAAAAATGAACAAGTCAGGGCGCGCTGCTTCCTTAACTCATCGAAACTTTGACATAAAGTCTCAAGTTCGGCAGTGCTGGCAGGATTACGGGCATGGAGCATCTGAAATTCGCCGTCATTTATTCTTTTTAGGATGTGCTGAATCTTCTAAAAAGACCAATAATGTCTTCGATGTAATTGGTGAACGATTTCGTTTGCTTCTGTGCACGACTCCGCAAGTGTTTTTCGGCTCTGGACTTGCAGACAGCGAGTTGGGCAAAAACGTAAGAAAACGACTTTTTGAAGATGTACCACGTCGTAATGTTGTTTTTGTGGTTGTAATACCACATTTAGGCTACATCAGTGAGGAAAAGGTGATATTAGTCAACTTGTCCACGTCATCCCACTTGTTGTTTGCTCTCACCAATTCGTAGTTGGCAAACCAGTCTTCCACGTCAATCTCATCAGCTCCGCTAAAGACCTTGAGCTCTCGCAAGCGCAGAACGCCGTGGTTGCTGGAGGATGGAGTGGAAGAGCCAGGTGGCGCGTTGTTGGTGGCTATGACTGGAGGTAGCGTTCAGTTGCGCAGCTCCAGGTTTAGGCGACGGCGAATAGCAGCACCCGGGTTCACGCGACGGGAAACGTCAGCACCCTCCACCAATTGAAAAGGGATTTATTGGCGTGTGTTGTGACGGCGGCTCTACGATGAACACACTATTGGGACAGAGCAGCTGCTGTCAAGAAGATGCCGACGACGATCAGCACGAGGCGAGTGAGAGGAGCCCAGAACGCAGTACCCATCCGGGAGTTCAGTTATAACGCCATCGGGGAGTTCAGAGTACCAGGGGAAAATTGTGTACAGCAAGAGAGCCGGGTGTTACGGCGCGCCACTGCGCGTGCTTCGTGGCAGTAGGAAGAAACAATTCTTCGCGACTTGTTGACTATTTGATGTCAATATGACCTTCATGCATCCCTATATGGACGAAATGTGAAAGAATAACGCAGTCTGCCAGTTTAGGTGTTGCCGAGTGGGTGTATACCGTATCTAACATTTAAGCGGCATGCAAGTTCTTGCGTACAGATACATGTATTGTAATAAATCTTCTAGTTGGGCTAATTAGAGATAATTTTTGAAAGCACAATTTAAGCGTAATTTCACGACATACTCACGTACACACACATTCCCAGGCCTAAAATAGGGAGAGTGCTGTGTGTGTTTGAGGCCTGGGTAGGTGTCTGCGTGTGTGTGTCTCGTGTTTGCGTTCAAATTTTGTTTTTATAGAAATAACATGTGATCGCTTAGTAGGCCTATTATCACGAAAGATGGGAGTTGTAACCCAGAATTCTTGTCTATACAACCACTATTGGTTAGCAAGTATCTGTGGCATTCAATGTCACAACGGCACGTGATCCGGCTTTTAACACCAAGCCGCCGATATGATTAGTACGAGAATTCACTTGTGCGGTGCCTTGCTCTGATAACTGTAGTATCTCGGTGCGGGCTAAGTTTCACCGCGGAGCATGTTTGCTGGTTGTTTAGTTCGCGCACATTGAAAGCGGTGTATAATTGTATATTGGTGCTATAAAATATGTCTAAATGAATAATTGTGAGCCGATGGTTGCGTGCGAAATAAAAACAACTTAAAGTAGTTCGTACAAGCTAAGCAGTATTTTCCAGCGATTAATTAAATGCCTCCAAGAGGTAACGTGCCCCGCTTA